TATTTTTATTTATTTAAATTACCATTGATTTAAAATTGTTTTACTCTATAGAAACGCGTTTTAAAAGCACAAACATAAACAAAGCAAACACGGGGTTTCAGATAGCTTTGTGATCTTTGAGCTAGTAAAAAATAATTGAATGTGCAGTATAAGTTGAAACAGAACAGTCTACAGTTTTATTTGTAACAATGGCTAATGCTGAAGTCATGCGAGAAAATCATTTTCCGAACATTTCTGCCTAACGGAATAATTAAAATTTGTAAACGAATTTTAGTATCAGCGGCTAAATTAATACCTTCGAGTTTTCAAGAGTTAAAATAGTAATTATAATAGTTTTCAATAGCACAAATAGTTCTGAAGTTCTTAGAGATTTGACTGGGCGTTGTTTGACAAGGTCGGGCATAAACATAATTTTAGTAAAAAATGTACTAGGTAAAAATGTATTTAGTAAAAAATGTATTAAGACAAAAATGTATTATTAGTGAGTTCAAAAAGAAAATTGAAAAACGTAATAACAAAATCCAACATTTTTTTATTTAAAATGTATTAAACAAATGCATAAAACTCGAAAATGAATGAAAATAACTTGCTAATTAATATTTTTATTCATTTTGCAAAATAATTGCATTTCGAAAGCATTTTTTTTTTTTTTAGAAAACTTACCGAGTTTTAGAAAAAAGTAACGATTTCATTCGACATTTCCGTTACAAATACTTGTACTTATTCCCTAAAAAAGTAACGAAAGTACAAGTAAAAGTACTAAATTAAAAAAGTAACGAAGTACAAGTAAAAGTACGTAATTTTTACTTGTACCGGCGGTAGAAGTAACGTAAGTAAAAGTACTGCCATATATGATTCCATTATACTAATATAAAGAAATCAATAGGTTTAAGATAGACAGCAAAGTCAGACCAATTTGTATTCATTCAATGCACAATTATGTTAGGGAATCCAATAAGTCATCATTCTTGGCTGTCAAGATATTTGATTTAAATCAGGGAAAAGTTATTAATTTCATGGTGTAACTGTTAAAAAATGTAATTCTAATACTTTTTTTTCAAAATTATTGAGATTGGTCAGCATTAAAAATTTGTCCTATCACTTCAAGCTACTGACTATGTTATTTTTCAGATTCTAGACAACTTAAAAGTGCTTAACTTGATAGATATAGCAAGAAAAAAACGTTTTAAATTTTTTATTACGTTTTTAAATGTCTACGCGTCAACTGAGATAAAATGTTTAGATCGCATAAACCTCCTGTATTTTGTAAATAAATAAACAGAAAATTTATTATCTGCAATTTATGTGTTTTTGAAACTGTCACATGTTTTCTTACTTATTACTAGCAGAAATTACGATATTAGTCCTTTTCTATCATTTGGAATGTAGAGAAAACAATTTTGTTTAAGGGTTTGAAAGTAAAAATTAATATTTTAATTGCTAATAAGGCTGAACTTAAGGTGCGAGATTTTAGACTACAGTGCTTTTCTACAATAATATTGAAAATTATTATTTATATTTTCTTGATTAAAGACTACATAGTGGACTTAGTTTACATTATTTCATTTAATTATATTTATACTTTTCATGAAGAAATAAAATCAATATTAAAGTCTACTACAAAATACTATTTTTTAAGAAAAATAGAATACTAAGTTTCCTCATAATTATATATCAGACATCAAAGAACTGAAATTAAAAGTTGTTGAAAATTTCAACCCTAATAATTTCTTATGTTGCTAATGACTTTTATTTACTAATTGTATTGTAAAATTTATTTTCTTGATTTTATTTCAAAGCATTCTGTACTTACTGTAATACTTTTGGAAGGAATATCTATGTTTTGTAGCAGCATGTTAAAAAGTGTAATTTTAGAAAAGTAATTTATTAAAAGTGCGATCAATTTAGTCGACAAGTACGCTAATAGGTATATAAAAGGTATAGGATATTACTAATCTTTGAAACTAATATTGACCTGTTATCATACAAATTGTCTTTCAAAATAATTTTTATTAAGTTTCAAAGGTATAAAAGAATGCATTAAATAATGGGGATACTTTTTCTTGTTGAAATAAACAGAGATATTTTGTTAATAATAATAAAACTTAGTGAACAAATTAATTACTTTTTTAAAGTTTAGGATAAGTAAAAGGTATTTCGAAATAAAATATTTTTTTTATTAAAAATTTATTCTTGTTCATAGTCATTCTTCTAACATGCATTTACTTAATATTAAGAACTTATACTGATTAACTTTTGGTGGGTGATATTTTATAATGAAAATATGTAAGAAGCGCAAGTTTTTGTAAACTATCGAAAAGAAAAACAATAAATTTTCAAAATTATTAATCTTGGAACTTGTTTTTATATTTTTATTTCAAGTTTTGAATACATAAAATTTCAAACTCATTCATTAAATTTTTACGAAAGCAATTTGCACAGCTTTTCTTAATATATTTTTAAATTGGTTTTACTAGCTGTCTTGCTGGTTGCATCATACCCCAGGAATGCTTCGTAAGCATCTCTGTTTCAGTAAACAGATCATTACATCAAAATAAAAACCATTTAATTAAAAAATAAACATTTCTTATTGTATTAATACAGTATTGGTCCCACAAATAAAGTTTCCGCTTCCATTGGGATTAAATTTAAACCTATAATTGCGCGCAGTTAATATATATATATATACTATAGCAACAACATACATAAACTTGTTTTAGAAATTCTTATATAATTTTCAGTTGATATAAAAACTCCTTTGTAATAAAAATTATACAGCAATTATATGAAAAATCATTTCATAATACTGCTTCAGAGTTTAAATATTTGTTTTGCATTCATTGTTGTTAATACATGTGTTGACTCAACACAGTTTCACATAAAATCATTTTTAAAGTTAATAAACATTTTTAAAAAGAAAATATGCACGCAATTATTTAATAATTTTAAAGCAGTAGTAAAATATCGGTATCATAAAATGTTGTATAATATTATGTAAACGCTTTTTAATTTTGAGTAAATAAATAATACATCTATTTTTAAACTTTTCAGTTTGAATAATAATCAAATTAAAAAATATAATAATAATAATAAGGAATAAAGTTATGAAGGAACGATAAATCAATATTGATAGTTAATTCATTTAAAAAAGAGATAAGTGAATAATTTAAAGGTAATTACCATTATAACCTTTATTAATTTTATGCTGATAGCAGTCAAACATAAATCGGTCTTCATTGCTTATTAAAGATCATATCACATGATTTTTTTTTGTTGAAGGAGAAAACATAAAACGGTCGTCATCATCAAAAGATTATTAAGTACATTTAGAAAATTATTTTTTGAAGGAATATATACTAAAAAAAAAACATAAAAATTTTATGAATTTGTACTAATTTTTAATGTCAAAACATTTAGACAAATTTGTTGCAAAAAACTTTGCTAATTCATTATAAAAACTTCTTAAAATTTTCATATATTTTTTCTCTCCATATTTTTATTAAGTCAATATAAACGTTTTGCAGAACTATATTTGTTGAAAAGAAATATTACTTTAATACTTATTTTTATAGATTACAAGATTTACAGAAATTAATACAATGGTATTAAGGTACTCAACTTAAATATTTAACTAAGTAAAATTTTTAAAATAGTTTTTTCATTGAAGTTAAGTGCAGTTTTTAAGTAGTTTCTTATTTGGCGATAACCATGAGAGCCTCTGTGACAGAAGGAATAGATTTTTTTCTTTCTGTGCATATTCTTTCTATTGAAATGAGAATAAAAACCAATTGTTATGCCTTTTATGCTAAAAACTGAATATGTTGTTAAGATTTTAACAAAGTGGGTATATTTAGTTAGCACTTTTTGGTACCGAATATTAGAAAAAAAAATCTCTGCTTGTCTAAATGGTAAGACATATTTGGCGAAAATATGTCTTGAAACTGGATTATTTGTTAATTTGTTAAGATTTAATAAGAATTAGTTATGGATCCGAAATTTCTAAGGAAAAAATTATTGGAAGTTCTTTCGTAAAAATTGGCGATAAAGTGAAATTACTTTAAACAAAATTTTGGCAAAACTTTTACAAATTTAATTTTATTTGTATTTTGAATTATCATTTTTCTTAAGTATTTACAATTTATTTTTAAAAATTAGTACATCTATTATTCAAATTAAGTTTTTTATTGGATAAAATTCAGCGAGTTTGGCTAGTTTCCTTCGTTTTCATAGGGACAAACAGTATTAGTTTAGCTTTATTAAATTAGAGAGATACTGAGATATTTTCGCTAACCCTGATATTATGCGCTAATAGCTATTTTACTTGAAAATGAATCAAACAAGCCAAAATTCAACACTTAAAAAGTATTGTTCCATTCTCGGAGAAAAAAAAATCTTGTAAAATTACCGTAATGTATGGCTATGATATTTTTGATAAAAATATAAAACCTTAAATTCTGGTTAATTAAATTAAAATATACGTTATTTAAACTATTCATTTGGTAATTTTTCCGTTTATAAGGTAACGGTTTACCGGAAATTCTGGTTTTCAAAATTATAGCTCTTGTTACCACACATTTTGCAAAAAATACATTGATGAAAAGTAAATTTAATTGAATAAATGGTTTTTATGCCATGCTCTAAGGTATCATCATAAGTTTACACGAAATTTTATCATGTTTACGAAATCTTTTCACACATTAAAATAATTATATTTTACTGCAAAATTTGCCAAAAAAAGAAATGTTACCACATTCTAGTAGTTTTGATCAATTTCTTTTTCTCAGTATATAATTTAAACGAGCTAAAACTTAATACAAAATTATTGCTCCTTCGTTACGTCGTTCTTATTATTTCGAAAATATTTTTAATTGCTTAAATATCCAAATAAGTTCTTAATTTAAAAACAATATCTGAAATTTAAGAACATGCTTAAAATTGGCCCAGTCTCTTTTCCAATCATTAATTCTCACAACAAATAAATAAGTAATTTTGCAACTTACCTCTCGACAGTATTTGATTATCTTCATAGTCCACAGCTGATTTGTATCTTTTAATTAGAAAAGCTCGAGGCATCTTCAAAGTGTATCACAAAAATAAGTCCTCTTGGATATAAGAATCATATAAAAATAAAGTCACTTCTCAACCACGGATGATCACAACAGATTCAAGAGGTGCACCACATCCCGGAGAAGTCCGTGCGATGCCACTTCGGTTGACGATTGTAAAGACAGTGACTTTATAAAAACTCTTGAAGATGATGCTCTTGTGGGGGAGTGTGTGTGTGTGTGAGGTTAGTTGCGCCACGTGGGTTAGGTCTGTGGGGGTCTGTTTCCGGTAAATTCTTCCCCCCACTGTCTTTTTTCTCCTGAGCTTCTTCCTGCCTTATCCTTTTTTTTTTCTTATAATTTCATCCCTTGGTGAGATATTGCTTTTTTACTTTTTTTTTTATTCTTTATCTTCCTTGAGAACTTTAATTACTCTTAGAACCTGTGCCAGGGAAATCTGCGCATCATTTTTTATGAGATGGAAGGTGAAATCCAACAAGTGTTTTGAGAAAGAGATGTTCAAAGCCAGCTATTTTATTTAGAGTTATATCCAGTGATGATTATCTATATTTATTATCAGAAATAGAGATGATAGACTTTTACCGTCATTTAGAGGTTTACTAGTAGCGTGTTTGGTGAATTTTTTTTACTGGCACCAAGTAGAAAAAATTTTGCTACTCTTGTTGTTAGACTCGATTGACTTCTTCTTTTACCATCACTTAAATTTTGACCATTAATTTCTATGGAGAATTTTTTTTTCTCGGTTCTACTAAGAAAGCTTTCAATAGTTTTGCTGATGTCTTCACTAAGATTTTGACCATCAATATCTATGGAGAATTTCTTTATCGACTTTACAAAGAAAGTTTTCCGTAGTTTTGCTGTTTGACTTCACTTAAATTTTGTTCATCAATGTCAGTGGAGATTTTTTTTATATGCTCTACAAAAAGAGATTTCCGTTAGTTTTGCTGTTTATCTTCACTAAGATTTTGACCATCAATGTCTATGGAGAGTTTCTTTATCGACTTTGCAAAGAAAGTTTTCTGTAGTTTTGCTGTTTGGACTTCACTAAGATTTTGACCACCAATGTCTATGGAGAATTTCTTTATCGACTTTGCAAAGAAAGTTTTTTGTAGTTTTGCTGTTTGACTTCACTTAGATTTTGATCATCAATGTCTATGGAGAATTCCTTTATCGGCTCTACAAAGAAAGCTTTCCGTAGTTTTGCTGTTTGATTTCACTTAGATTTTGACCAGCAATGTCCTCAGAGATTTTTTTTGTCAATGCAAAAAGAGCTTTTGGTATTTTTACTTTTCATTAAAATGAGTTTAAGAACCTGTTGCTTTAAAAAAATATGTTTTTTTTTTGTAGTCACGAGCAGGATATTGATGCTGCCAATACTTCATACAAACGTTAAATATTATTTTCGCGTATTTGCCAAACTGTTGATTCCTGACTGAGCAAATGACACGTGATTAAATAAATGATTTTCTCCTCTATCCGTTAAATTTAAAGCTATCGAAAACTGGCACCATAAAAATATTTTTAAATAAATTGTCCTAATTAAAACTTTTAAGTTGAACTATCGAAATATTCGGAGATTGAAAAGAATAAATGTAATAAGGGCAGTAATATTATTTACGAAACAATAGCAAAACAATATCGAATTTGGACCTAATACAGCTGCGAGTTTATGATAAGTAAAAATTAAACATAAATATCAAAAAGCTCATTCATTTAAATGCAGTAAAAATGAAAGACTTAAGTAAATAAAATATGAATATTTTCAAATAACGTTCTTCTTAAATTTAAGTTAAGCAGAATTTAGCAACAATTTATAATTTCCTCGTATTATGTTAAAGGAAACTACCTACACATTACGAAACTATCTCACATGCAATTTCAACCAAATTATTTATGATTTTAAATTAACTTGCAATAGATTTTCAATAAAATAAACACGAAAGAAGCATTTCTACGAAAAACAGTAATTAAATTTACGGTAGTGGAATATTGCAGAAATTACATAATCAAATGACTTAGTTTCATTATAGACGCGTAAACAAACAGAAAAAAAAAATCTCGAACGATTCGATTCCGTGAGCAATGGCTCAAATCCGCTTTTCAACCAGGTAAGTATCTCTTTGAATAAGCATGAGGCGAAGTGGGGGAAAAAAGGATGCTTTGAAAGAAGAGAAAAAGCTGTATAGTGACGTGGAGCGTTAGAGAGAGAGGATGCCGAGGAGGAGGGATGCTGATCTCCACTGAGAGGATCCTTAGCTTTCCTTGGGACGCGAGCCAACGTACGTCCACGTGCATTTTTTTAATTCTTTACTTTTTTAAATAGGCGGGGGCAACGTGCCAGTTAAGACCAATAGCGTTGAAGATGTTCAACCCAAAAAGTACAAAAATAAACTCGTGGTGGTAGGTTTAGACATCTGGTCCGATGCTCGGAAGCGCGTGGCATTCTCGCTGCATGATCTTTCATCATCTGAATAGTCATTCCTCTCTCTCTCTCTCTTTCTCCCCATACTCATTTTTCTTTTATTCTTCTGTTAAAAAGGAAAGTTTTTGTAACTACATCTTCCTTTAGAACAGAAGGAAGAGGCTCCTTTCCTAAATTTAGGGAAGGAAAGAAGGTGAAAAGGTATTTTTGACCATGCTCGGTAATGGACCATAAGTTGGGGTTGTAATGGGTGCCCATTAGTCAAAACACACGTGCAGTTCTTCTTCGCTTGCTGAGATCACTGAAATATTTATGCGCTGTTATTTGGAATATATTATAATAAATATTAATAATGTAGTATGCCACTATTTCAAAAATATTATACACTAATGTTTTAAGTAGTGATACAATGATATAAGTATATAAATATTTAAAATGTTATTATTATGTGTGTTGCATTATAAAATATTCAAAATATTGTTAGCATGATGAATGAATACATTTTAAATGTTCTTAAACGCGATAAAAATTGACCTATTATTTTCCGTGTACTAATGTAACTATTAAGGGGTAACTAAAAATAGTCAGGTAAAAATTAGCTGCATACCGTTAAACTCGATAAATAAATAAATATACATAATAGAAATAATAAAAAATGCGAGCAATTTTCTAGTCAGGAAATGTTTTCGTAATTGAAATAATTTATAAATTTGCTATAATTATAAGATATATTATTTATTACTGAATTTAATACTGTAATTTAATATTGAGTAGTTTAATACTGTCGAATAAAAAATAGTATGTTTGAATAATACCGGGAAATGAACAAAGTTACATTTTAAGCACAGCAGATTTTTTGCAAGGTAGGCATTCGAAATACCATTCAAAATGTTCAGCAAATTACATTAACTTTTTCACATAAAATAATCTCATGAAATTTTATTCTGATTATTTCGACTTCATTAGTGAGATAGTTCAGATTTCTTTTACAAATAAAATAGGCAAATAACTTTCAGGCCTTGTACAGTTAAAAGCGACTATTGGAATATTTTAGGACAAAGTTCAAAAAAATTGATTGATTTAAATAAAGAAATTCATTAAAATTTATATTTCTGGGAACGAACATGTTTCTATTACGAAGGAAAATAGTACATTCATAAAATACAGTGAGTGCTTTTTTTAATGTGCTTTATCGCTTATTATTCCATGCTACGTTAAGGAAATTCCAACACGAAGAAGAGAAAGTGTAACTGCGTCTTCCGTTACCAAATTGAACTTTGGTGAAATCAGAATAAAATTAGGAGCGCGATATACCACGAGTGAAATTCTCTTTCACTCCTATAACTAGTTTAAAGTATAGAAACAGTGAGTTCAGAAAAACCTGGAGTAAGCAATAAAGTCTCAAATACTAAAAAGGAACTCTTAGAAAATCAAAACGAAAATAAATCTTGAGAATATAGCTTAGGATTACGCAATGAAGAAGTTCATTTGACACAATTTATTTGTATTTCAATGTTTTGAATTTTTTTTCTCAATAGTTGAAACTTTATGGGTTACTCTAGGTTAGTTTGAACTAACTTTTTCTTTCTCTTAAATTAATAATGGAAGTGAAAGAGAATTTGAAACGAAAAATTTCTCACGTCGTATGACGTCCTCTTAAAAGGCACTCACTGTAAAAGTCTCATGTGTTACTGTAGAAGTCTGAAGTCTGGTAAATCCTAGGTTTTAATGGTAAAACCTAGGATTTAAGAATATGGCTTGGCAACTTCTATGGTTTACCGCAGGCTTGGTAAAAGACCGAAATGAAATGATAAAGTATACATTGGACTTTTATAAAGCCACTTTGGTAAAAGCTAGGTTTTACCGGTAAACTCTCCAATTTACCAGACCTTGGGTTTTTAACGTAATAGATGTTTGATATATAGACTTTTATTTCATTAGTTTCATCATATAAAAATTAAGGCGATGAAAATCTATATATATATTTAAAAACAAATAATGAAATAAATAATTAAATTTTGTTAAAACATACACTTATTAATCTTATCAAAATGTGTGTCAAAAAACGTGATTGACAGACTGTAGTCAAAGATTTTCGTCAAAAATAGATCTAGCGGTTTTTTCCTGTGGTTTCTAGTGGTTCGTGAAATGTTTAACTCGGAAAAAAAGAGATTGCGCAGAACTTTCTTCTTTTTTTTTAATGATGTTTTTTGAAAATTGAAATTACGTCTAAAATATCATTCGTTTATTAATTAAAAAAATAGTAGTATCTATAGTACATTTAATTTGGTCCCTAAGAGTTATTTCAAACTTAGTGTAGTCATAATCTGGTATAAATTGGATGATATTTTTAGCCTTGGCTTATAAAGCAATTAAAAAATTACAACAAATCTGATTTAGTTTAAAATGGCATAGAAGTAACTGAAATCAGATAAGGGTTAAAAAGGTTTTACAGTAAGCATAACTTATTTTATCAATAAGTAATCAAAGGCGATGAACTGCATAAAAATGTATGAATTGCATAAAAATTTTAAAAAAAAGAATAAACAGTTACTTGAAAGTTTAATATTTGAAATGGCTTTTACATTCTATAGATTATTATTTTTTATATTGAACACATCCTTGAAACAAACGTTGATTTTAGATTTTTAAATATAGGGTTTTGAAGTTCAGAAATTAGAAGGATGTGGTTTTTTATCCATGTACATTTTAGAAATAAATTTATTTAAAAACTTTTTACCATTAGTTAATTACTTTTTACGTAAGAGCAGTGCTGGGCTTGGGTTTTTCCTTTTGAATTTTGAGGTGATCCTGGTCAATCAATCTGCAGGTGCCGACTTTCATCGAATATGCTGCTGGGTTAATCTTGAGAGATTTTGGTCATTTCGCTTTTCAGACACAAACGTGGATGAATATAATTTAAAAAAGAAAATCTGCTTAGGCAAGTTTACATTAATTGTTGATATATTTTATATTATTGTATTTCATCTGAGGCTCTATGGCGTTTGAATCATTCTGTTCAATAATCACTGAATAAAAAAATAAAATAAAAAAAGTCGTGATAGCTCAGGGGAAAGAGCGTTCACCTTCCAATGAGGTGAACCGGGGTTCGATCCAAGCGATGGCTGGTTGATACGAATTCCACATCCGGCTTGCACCGACCACAGTGCTGACGTGAAATATCCTCAATGGTAGGCGGATCATGAGTTAGAATCCCTTTGCCGTCAGAATAACCGTGGGAGGTTCTCGTGGTCTTCCCCTCCATGTAACGCAAATGCGGGTTAGTTCCATCAAAAAGTCCTCCACGAAAGCAAATTTATCCTGATACTTTACAGGAGTTCCCTTATCCTCTGGATTGGGTTCAAAATTACAAGGTTACGGAGCTGAACATTAGTAGTAGTAAACCCATAAAATTGGGTCGGCTGTTCAACGACAGTTATGAAATAAAAATAAAATCACTGAATAAAAAGGTTTGAGGGAAAACACGATAACATAGGGACTCAATGTAGGAGTTCTATGGTACGTGAATTATTCTCCTCAACAATCACTGTAAAAAGATTTACGAGAAACAATAAAACCGACAAAATAGTAGCTTAATGTATGCGTTCCATTGTGCTTGAATTATTCTGTTCAACAATTAGTGTAGAAAGATTTGAGGGTAAACACGATAATATAGGAATTTAAGTTAGAAGTTCATGAATTATTCTATTCAACAATCACTGAGGGAAGCCACGATAACATAGGAACTTGATATTCATTCCATTGTGCACGTTATTCTGTTCAACAATTAGTGCAAAAAGATTTATCAAAAAACACGATAAAAACTTCAAATCTGTAAACTGATATTGTCTGGATAAATGCAAAAAAGAAAAAAAAAGTACTTGAGAAAACATGGCAAAGATTTCTTGAATTTTTTTTACTTGAATTGAAGACAAAAATATAATTGTAAGTAGCTAGTTTTCCGTTTCTTAAATTTTTTTTTATTAGTCTTTTATTAACTAACTTTAAAATTAATAACCCGTTCAAAATGTTTCAAAAACTTAACTGAAGAACGCAAAATGATATTTTTAAAGCAAAATTGCGGCATTCTACAAAGCACAAACTGCCGTAGGAAGAAGGGTGAAATGGTCCTTTTAACCACTCTTAACTGTCAGGACTTGCACACATGGGTGAAATTTTCCTTTTTTTCATTTTCCATCGGAAGTAATATTTGTAGTTTTCTGGTGCAGGATCCAACCCCCCTTTCGCACTTCGTTAAGAGATGGGTGAGAGTGATCTAGGGGGATAGGGTTCACATCCGTGGGGGGACAGACGACACGCGTGGCACAGAGAATAAAACAAAAACCAAGAAAGGAGGAGGTGGAAGGAAATGAATTGCGATACTTTTCATCATCAGGTATGGTGACGTTAAGTTTCCTGGGCAGAAGATGGAATATCATGATTACTTGCCCTTTTTCTGTTCCTTGTGAATGAATATATCGTGAATGAAGTTTTGTAAATTAGAATTCCAGAGCTTGTATATCACTAATTGATACTTTATTTATCATTTTATAATTCTTTTGAAAAAAAATATCTTTCAGAAGCTTATGCATGAATCACTGTTTTTAATATGCATATAAGTATCCAAATTAAGAGTTGAAAGTTTATATTTAAAAAGGGCAAAATAAAAAATAAAAGCTAATGAAAAGGTGAGAATCACTAGTCATCGACTAACATAGAGAACAAACATGCACCCAAAGAAACCTCTGTTATATTTGCGTTGGATTATGCTAAAGTAGAAATGGATTTTTAAATTTAAAACTTTTGGTACTTTGAGGA